GTACCTGCCAAGGCCGCCCGGCCGCCGATCTTCTGGGCCGCCCGGCCGCCCGGCCGCCGATCTTCTAGGCCGCTCGGTCGCCGATCCTCCAGGGGCCGCTCGGCCCGGCCGCCGATCTTCTGGGCCGCCCGGCCGCCGATCCTCTAGGCCGCTCGATCGTTCGGTCGCCGATCCTCCAGGGGCCGCCCGGCCCGGCCGACGCTCCTCCAGGGCCGCCCGATCTTCTAGGGCTGCCTGGTCGCCGGGCTCCAGGTCGCCCGATCTTCCAGGCTTCCGGCCGTCGATCTGTCGATCCGCCACTGGTCATATCCCTCGCCTCCGCCGGGCCGCCAGGCTGCATCCAGGCGGCCGGGCCACATCCTCCGCTCGTTCTTCCTTCGGCTGGCTGCCAGCAGGCCCTGCGCCCTCGGCACCCTCGGCACCGGCCGCCAGCGAGGTCGCCAACACCCTCCACGTCCTCAGCTCCCCAAACCTGGGTCGTCGACCCTCAGGAGGCCCCCCGTCTCCGCTGCGGACTCCATCCCCTCATGGAGCTAACCTCGGTGAGTCCGTCATGGTTTGCAACCATATTATATATTATTGAACTGCTTTTTACATTCTTCCACTATATGTGAAAAAGGATGTCTTTTAAAGTTATAAACAGGATAACGGATTCTCTCTTATCAGTGCTACAAGCTGCCTTGGAAGTCAGCCATTAAATAATCTATTTCTTTAAATTGTTCTGTTATGCTCTCTATGCATTCTCCAGCCATGAAAGCTTTCCCATCAATTATAATACAGTCTTCTTCAGTGTTGATTTCCATTAGTCTACTTTCTTCACTAGCTTCTAAAGAGCAGTTAAGCACCTAGAGCCAAAAAAGAGAAGAAAAAAAGACTTCATTCATATTGTGACTATATTATGTAACTTTGCAACTGTTTTCATGAACACTAATTCCCACAATGGAAGAATTGGTGGCAAAGGTGATGGAGCTAGCATAGATGGTGAAATCGTTTCAATTAAAGAATTTATCTAGTTATGTTTCTAATTGGAAACTGCTTCTGAATTTTTTTTTAGAAACTGACAGAAAATGACATTTTTGCTTTAGGTTTTAATGATTAGACTAGTTTTGTAATTATAGAAATCATTTGACATGTTGTGAAATGTAAAGCAACAGATTGATCTATTGTTTTCATTGTTTACTGCACCAAGAACAACCGTTAAGTCATTAATTTTTTCTTCTCTTTTTATACTTTTTGCTGTTTTATTTTTCTAACTTTTGCTTCGTCTATATTTTTAACTTATAATAAAAGTTAATAAAATGTATTAGTGCCGCAATTCCATGCACTTGATTCAGCAAGAGATGGCTCATTATATTTGCACAGCTAATGATTAGGTTCACACTTCCTGCTAACCTATAATGTGGTTTGTCTTATTTTTTGCTAAACACCTTGCAAGATTCAGTGCATTGCAGTCTGGAAAAAAGATTTAATCTAGCTAAATCTCATAGATAACAAAGCATTATTTAAAAATAATTGTACTGTGAGAATATAAATGTAAATGTGAATCAAAAAACACAGTACAATATTCATTTGCTGAATAATCTAGCTATTTCTTGATGGAAATATGATTTTTCAACTGGAAATTCTGCACTGGATCCAGATCTATTGAAATATCCAAATGAAATAAATAGGACTAATCTAAAATCATCAGTTTTAATATACTGGATAGATTGTCAAGTTTATCAATGAAGTTCATTTTTTAATTGTTTGTTTTGCTGTTTACTTGGTCTATTATAGACAAAGTCTTGTGGATTGTGATCCAACTAGAATTTGTTGGAAAATAGTATAACAGATGTAATCAATATATAAGTGAATACATAATTGTATATTCATATAGCATTCTCTTTCTTTATAAATCCAGATTTGCGCTGTCACATATTCCATCTGTCCATTTAAAAACACATAAAGGGTGGAAGAATAGGATTAAAATGACAGGGTTTTTTTTGATTTGGCCAAAATAAAAAGAAGCTCATTTATCAGTATAATGTTATTCTACTAATAAATATTTTATTTATTCACTAAAATATATTTATTTGAAGGATATGTACTTTTATTTCTCAGATTAACAGTGAAATTATTCCTTTTCATGTTAGAGGGGAACACTTTTTGCAAATGCATTCTAAAATCAGCCTAGCCCCATATATGCTTATTCAAACTATGTCTCATTGATTTTAATGGAATTTATTCTTAGATAAGCATGCATAGGATTTTAGCTCCCCCCCCCCACTGCCCCATTAGTAGCAGTTTCTGGACTTCCAATTAATAATTCATACCTCTTCTCTTTCATTATTGTCCTCTCGATTCCCAGATGACTCCAAAAAAGGCTTGGAGGTGACTAACACTTGACTGAGAATTTGGTCCAAATCTTTCAGTATAATTTCTGTCTCTGTTACAGCTAATAACATAAAATAATGTTTTTACTAAAAATTATATTACCGCAATTGTTTAATTTAATTCAATTACAGGCATTAACTGGAAATAGCAATCATTACAATTTTTTATGTTTCATATGTTAACTTATCAATAAATTCATTTTAAAATGCATTTTAAAATTTATTCTATTAATAATACTGTATAATTTCAAATGAATCCTAAATCCTAAATCCTATTGGGGGATAGTTTCCAAGTTTAATTGAGTGGGAGCATACATTCTGTCAATAACATATTTACAGAAAAAGTTTAAAATATGACTATTTTTAGAGACCCTTAATTATTGAAGAATAATTTGTCTATAATAAGCAATAAATGGGCACATATCTGTTGATGCTTTTGCAGTTTGAAATATACTTATTGTGGAACTTATTTACTTTCAATTCCCTGGAACTGACTTAAAATGGAAAGAGATGAAGACTCCTGAAGAAGAGAAAGGTTACCATTCAGTGAGACAGCATAACTCGAAAGTGTCTAACATGCCACTGTTCTTCTTCACCGTTTTGCTGTTTCTCCCACTGATTTCAAACGTATTTAGGATTAACAAGATGAGATCCAATTTTGTATGACTAATCTGCATGAAAAGTTTACTTATATTTTATTTATTCATTGTACCTTTTACAAGAATTAAAAACAACTAACATAAAATTCCCTTCTCAAATATTATTACCACAACAACCTTCCAGAATTTTCTTGGACAAGACATTGTGACTAGTCCAGTACTTACTTTTACAATGCTATTCTCATTTTCTTTCTATTGGTTTATATGTTTTATGTTTGTGCATTTAAATGACAATATTTAAATATAGAAATAAGAATAGCAACTTCATGCACTACACTTTTATTTATTTTTCTTTCAGGGACTAATTTAAATTTCTCCTGCTCTAATCTGAATATGTGTTCACTATAAACAACTTTTTCATTGCTTGTTGTTATATTATTAGCTTTATATATGTTTAGAAGGCAACTGTATTTGAAGATTTTTTTAAAAATCGGAATTTTAATCATGTGACCATGGGGATGCTGCAATGGTTATAAGTGTGAAAAATGGACATAAGTCACTTTTTCAGTACCATACTAACTTGAACGGTCATTTAACGAATGGTTGTAAGTCAAGAACTATATGTTGCATGAGGAGAGGCTGGTGCATGACTTGGGTCTTTTGAATATTGATGGTGGGTCCAGAGTTGCCACAAGGAGAATTTGTTCATACTGACTTATGGATCTGAGCCAGCATTTAGGGCATGGTCATTGGCAAAAAGCAAGTCTCTCAGAACAGTTTCCTTCACTTTGGTAATTAGGCTATTACCAAATTCGTATTAATTCATTTGCATGTCTGTACGTAAATAGATTTGTTTTATACTATGTATATCAAACCAATCTTTTTCTAAGCAGATAGTCATGAGGCAATCATGATTTTTATTTATTATGGGTCTCTTGAAGGCTGAATATCTTTTTTTTTTTTTTGCATTCTCTTATGAATCAGTTCATGTCACATTACAGAATAACTTTTTCCTAAATCTTGCATTTATAGGGAATGTTATACATGTTTTCTAAAATTAGGAAATGGCTCTTCATTATTTATTATTATTCATGCCATATTATTAACATCTGAATGCCTATTTTCATACACACCCATATATAAGCTAGATTACACCAGTTCATATTATGACATACTTTTTTCTAGCTTTTATTTATAATTAAATCTTTGCCTTGATTTTTATACAAATGTTCATTCATTCTAGTCCACAGACAATAAGGAAAGTGCAACCAAAGTCCTGTTTTACATCAAACATATTTACATATTCTATTCATGTTAGAATCTCTAATCTAAATACTAACTTGCAAGTCATTTTTTTTGCCACCCACTGGAAATTACATGCAATAATACTGCATGCTGTACTCAGGTAACAAATACACAAAAAAATACATAATAATTTTATATAAAATGTTAGAATTTCATAATGTTAAAAAAATGCTTCCTAAGTTTTAAACTAAATCTCTTTCTAAACTCTTTCAGACCAAAGAAATGCATCTGCTTTTACTATTCTATAAAACACCCTTGATATTTTAATTATCTGTGTGATGCATTGCTTTAGTTTGAGATACTTAAAAATAATTAAATCATTTTGTGATTAGCTTCTTTTATAACTTTACTATTTACCATGCAATAAGTTTAGGAAATCTATCAGTTTGTCATATTTAGCTTTCTACTTACAACTGCTGCAACACCCCTATGGTCACGTGATCAAAATTCATGGGGTCAAGGGATCACCTTTTGTAATCTTCTGACAAACAAAGTCAGTGGGAAAGCCAGAGTCACTTTACAACCATATTATTAACTTAACATCTGCAATGATTCACTTAACAACTATGGCAAGAAAAATTGTAAAATGGGGCAAAACCCCGTAACAAATGTCTAATTTAACAACACAAATGTTGGGCTCAATCATCTATATATTCTTTAACCTATGATACAAGCTTCAAAGTGGTTTTCTCAAAATGGCAACTTTAAGATTAGAAATTTCAATCCCACAATTTCCCAGCTGGCTACTTTAGAGCTTTAAAGAAATATTGCTTTAGAGCTTAAAACATTTCCTTGGATCTCATTCATTTTATAGTAATATTCTATCTATAGCACAATCTGATACATATCTATTCAGAAGCAAATATAACCAGATTCTGAGCTGTTTACACATAGGTAATGTTTTAGGTTAAAGCCCAATACTCAGATATTTTAAAATCTTGGTAAGATATGCAGACATTTTATACTTACCTTCTTTTTTTCAGAATAGCCTGACAAACATAATAAACATAATAGTTTTCTTCAGAATCAAGTTCTGCTTTCTATATTTAAAAAAGCACATAGTTTTGTACTTGTATATATGAACACTAACCTAAGCTTTGTCTTGATAGGATATCTTCTGACCTTGCTATTTTGCAAGGATATGTTAACATTATTTGCCTGAAAATTGAGAAAGTTATGAGTATTTGTTGTGAATCAACAATCAAGAATAGATAGAAATAAGCCAGCAACATAAATGGTTAAGATCCAGACTTAGTTAAATTAGGACTAGACAGTAAGGTATAACCTATGAATGAATTTGGATTGCAACCAATGTTTCATATAATAAAAATATTTATAACTATTTGTGAATAGTACCATTTCATTAAAACTCATATTAGTTCTTTAAAGCATACCTTATAATGATACATGCATTGAAGGTATATTATAAATGATATTGTTTATTTAAATTGAATTAGATTTTTGTCATTGGCATTTTCTACAAATCCTGAAATTTAGCTGCCAATCTACCAATCAAGCTGAAGAGTTTACATTGTATATAAATGTTTAAAATGACTTAAGGTAGCATAATGAACTCTTGAAAGTCAACTTGAAAATTATCTATTTTATATAATTGTGAAAGGTAAACTGCTATGAATATATGAACTGACCTCAGACTATGCATATTTTAGATATAAGTTTCTTCAGCTTTAAGTTAAAGATTTATTTCAAATAAAGTCTTTCCTTTTAAGCCTTAAGACACAGTTCATCATTTTGGAAACAAAATACAGATTGCATCAGAATGTACATTATTTATTTATTAGAATATTTCTGTTCTGCCTTACACTCAAACATTTCTGAAATTGCTAATAAAACTTTTAAGTTGATTAGCATAATGTGATGAATTCAGATTTAGTAACATAAATAATAAATCCACTGAAATCTATTACTGATTTAGAGCACAATCCTACAGTAGACAAGAGTGGCAACTATGGAGTAAGAATCAAACTCAAAAAATCTTTTTTTCCTCCCAAGCAGGCTTGGAAATTAGTATTTCCTAATATGTGAAATCATGCCAAGAACAAAATGGGAGGAGGAAGCTAGAGAAGAACCTGCTACATCAGTGGTTCTCAACCTGTGGGTCGGGACCCCATTTGGGGTCTATCGACCATTTCACGGGGGTCACCAAGCAAGGCTGTCCGCCATTTTTTTTGTCCGCCATTTTTTCCCCCTTTTCCAGCGGGTGCCTTACCTCCCTTGGGCTGGGCCAGCTGTTGGTCGGCCTGCTCCATCTCTGCTGCTTGCCAGCTACGCCTCGGCTGGTGCAGGGTGCGTAACCACGCAAGCGCGGCGCTCCCGGGCAGGGAAAGTCCTTGACTTACGACCGGTTGGATAGTCCTCCACTTACGACCGGTTTAGTCCTCGACTTACGACCGGTTTAGTTTTCGACTTACGACCGGTTGGGGTCGCGGCATTAAAAAGGTTGAGAATCACTGTGCTACATTAAAAGTCATTGCCAGCTAAGACATCCCCAAAATAAACCTTATCCCAATTAGGAGTTTTAGTGGATTGTTTCCCTTACACTGATTATAGTAAGAGAGAACTCAGAAAAGGAAAGAAGGAAGGAAGAAATGCACTTCATCCCTCACTTCTCTCCTGTCAGTAATTGGGCATGGGTTTTAAGCTTTATCAAGCAAGATTATTCTGCTAAGAATTTTCAGTGGCACTACTTTATCCAATGCAGACCTTGTGCAGAGCTTTCCCAAGCTTAAGCTGTCCTTTCCCAAGGCAGAGTGCACTAGTCTAGGGGTCCCTAACCCCCATTACTGTGGCCTATTTGGAACTGGGCCATGCGATTGTGGGCTGGTGCGCATGCACGCAGCTTGACTTGTTCAAGCAGCAGGCAGCATGCACCCATGCACACACATGCATGCAGCTCAACTTGTGCAAGTTGAGCTGCACATGCATGCACATCGAACTGTTGCTCATGCAAGTCGAGCTGCATGCACGAGCCAGCCTGCCACTTGAGTGGCCTGGTTCCCCTTCTCCCCCAGCCGGGCAAGCAAGCCACAAAGGTTGGGGACTGCTGCACTAGTCTTATTAAGTATTAATATAGTATACCTCTTTGTTAAAACTAACTGATTGTTCAGCTGCAAAGACCAGAGTATGGTGTCAATTATGCTAACATCCTTAATTGTATTATCTTCTGTATAGTAGTTCTTAACTGAATGTTTGCCAGGAGGTGATTCATTAATACATCCACATGACATGAATAGCAGGCACAATCATTGCCCAGCAATATAGTAAGCCAAAGAAATGTTTGAAAGTTATAGAACTAAGACTTGAAGATAAATTCCTGGCATCCTGCAAAATCCATTTGAAGGATGGGATGTGATACAGGATGGAACAGTATGATATATGCTGGATGTAAATATTTTATTGTACTTTTGAAATAAAGTGGATGAAATCTAGAGATAGGGGTTTTTAGCTATTGACTATGAATTTAATATATAGTAGGAGCCATATTAAAATAGGGTTCTTATGAGTTTTAACAGTTTTTGGTGGCTGATCTGATTTGCTGATACTGAAACATACTGCTGATTTATCTATTTAATCACTTCATTGTAACTTTTTAAATATGCTGTATATCACTCTGTTGTTTTAATTATAAGGAAGGCTAAGTACAAATAAATAAAAGACATATACTTCTTATACCCTGGAAAAATTAAGATACATGAATTTGCTATCCATATTCTTTTATTTTTCCTTGTCTAGTGAAAATCACAATATTTTAAGACCATCAGAAGATAACCAGACTTACTTTCTTCCATTTCTGTAACTAGTTTTCTTCCCACATTTTTTTGTACAACTTTTAATCTGAGAAAAAAATGGATTATTTTTAAATACACAGTATATTTAATGGCAGTCAACAGCTGTTTCAAAAGTATATGGTTACCTTTTAATTTCAACAGCTCTTCCCTCATAGATGTTATTTTTGATCACTTGTAAGTAAGATTTAATGGGTAGGTTCACCCATTTTATTAAATTATATATTTGTTACAATAGATTTCAGCCTTGTATTTTTCCTTTATCTGTATTATAGAATAGGATGTTGGAAGAGTTTTTTGTTTTCTCATGGTTAAATTATCACAATTTCTTGTATATTCAAACCACAACTTTGGTTAATTATAGTTAACATCTGATTAAGTCATAACTGAATTGGCATGTTAAATTCATTAAAAATTAACTATAATTTATCACTTCACAAGAATGATAAAATGATAAATTATGCAATAGAAGTTTCTGAGACCCTCTTGGTCTGTCTGTCTGTCTATCTATCTATCTATCTATCTATCTATCTATCTATCTATCTATCTATCTATCTATCTATCTATCTATCTATCTATCTATCTTCCTCCTTGTCCTCCTGCTCCTCCTCCTTCATCATCATCATCATCATCATCATCATCAAAATCATCATTTTAGCTATTGTCTATCCACTGCAGGATGGAGGCCTCTTCTGCATGTTTCCAACCAATACAGTCATGAGCCTTTCTTTTGTCAATTGGGCCCACAATACTTGCTGATGTCGTCAATCCCCTCTTTCATGGACCCTTTTTATCATGTGGGGTCCATTCTGTGACTGCCTTGATCCACCTCCCATCAGTTCTTGCTATGTGACCATCCTATTATCTATCTGAATATGAGATTAAATGAGCCTGAAGCTTCTGGCATCTTATGGTGGTGGCGCAGTGGTTAGAATGCAGTACTGCAGGCTTATTCTGCTGGCTGCCAACTGCCACAGTTCGACAGTTCGATTCTTGACTCAGCCTTCCATCTTTCCCAGGTCAGTAAAATGAGGACCCAGTTTGTGGGGAGCAATATACTGACTCTGTAAACTGCTTAGAGAAGGCTGTAAAGCACTATGAAGCGGTATATAAGTCTAAAGTGCTATTGCTATTATCAATATCACACAAACAATATTGGAAATGATGTTCAAAGTATAGTTAGTATAGTTAGTATATTAATATAATTACTATATTAACTATAGTATTTTTCTTTAGGTATTTATTCCTCACCCCAAATCAAACATGTTTTATTTAAATTATTGTGAAGCACACAATAATAAAATGAATTAATTATATCCATTTTCATTCTAATATAAAATGCTTATAAAATTAGTAAGTTACTAATTTATTCAAGTTGCAAAAACAAAGACATTTCATATCAATAAACATTGTGATAGGAAGTAATATTGCTATTTAGAAAGAACAGCTGAAAGCAAATATTGCAAAGCAAAGTTGTCCAATAATCAATTAAAATTGTAAGAATTTATATTTAAATCTTACCATTTGTCTACATTCTATTTTATCAGTTTTTCTTTTGGCTTCTTTGTCATTTACTGTATCTAAAAATCATTATGAGAATAATTAAGAAACAATTGAATCATAATGACTAACAAATATAAGATTTTATATGATTGTTTTTGATCTGTGCTCAATTCTTATGTTATAAATATTACAATATTATGGAAATAGGAATCTACAAGAAAACTACTCAAGACTAACACATGGTGGGCTGTGATCCCATGTTTGCTGGAGGAACACGGTCCAATTCAGAACTTGGTTAATCTTGCATGATAAATTAATACCTGCAGTAAGTACCCAAAGATATTTTATAGAGTATATTGATCATAACAGAGATGCAGCTGCAGGAACTAGTATTTGATTAAAGGTTATATCCATCATGTAAAATGTACAGGTTCCTAACTGAATAACACAGATTATTTTGAGCTGGGTGTTTATTTATTCTTTTATTTATGAAACTTCTGTTGATTTGATGCAGGAATCATTAGTATCTAGCAGTATTAGTATTCAGTACAGATACTATCATTAATTCATGCCACAATTACTGGGAAAAATATTTGCACACATAAAAATTCAAGTGTTTGTGTATAATAACAACTAAAAGGCCAGATAACTGTACCCTTTTTTGATAGATAGCATATGTCGAGCCTTTGCTGAGTAGAATATGCAAGCAATTTGTTTGCCTCTTCCAATGCACTGTCATACCAGGCTTTTTTCTTCTTACATACATCTGCCTAAGGAATAGACATATAAATATATATCCAGCTATGTTACTAATTGATATTAGATACATTGTTATTTTTCTAAAGTTCTCAGTATAAAATGTAAAAGAATATTTTTACAATGCATTTAGTTAGTTACGTGCATTATATAAATAGCTGCAGAAACAATGAACATGCAACTTAAATTGAACTTGAAATTATTTTAATTTTAGAAAAAGGCATTATTTAAATTGGGAAATTGTGGAGGAGGAGGAGGAAAGCAGAAGCAGAGACAGACACAGAGAAAGAGAGTTTGTGTAGCAAATTTTAGGTGCTATTAAAGAAAAGCCCTATTTTCCTTTTAAAATAAAGGAAATGATATTTGCTTTTTTTGGCTCAAACATAAAACTTACAGTCTTTCTTGTAGTAACCCTAGATCTCTTGAAGCAGGACTATGGAAACAATATGACTTTGTAAATGGTTTTATAACTCAGTTTTATAAGCTCAGTGATGGCAAACCTTTTAGAGACCGAGTGCCCAAACTGCAACCCAAACCCACTTATGTATCGTCGGGTGCCGGTTGGGCATGGCCCATTGGGTAGGTGTGGCCCATTGAGTGGGTGTGGCCAATTGGGTGGGCATGGCTGCGGTGGTAACGGAAGACTGGGTGGGACTAAAAAGTTCAATCAATCAATTTCAACTGTGAGAGATCTTTTTTTCCCCCTGCAAGAAGTTGAAATTGATTGATTGATTGAACCTTTTTTTTTTTTTTGCCCACAGCGGTGGAGGCCTAAAGCGAAAAGGTTTTATAAAACTCAGCTGAAGGCCTAAGACTGGGGCGATGGCATGCGTGCCCACACAGAGGGCTCTGTGTGCCACCTGTGGCACGCGTACCATAGGTTCGCCACCACAGACATAGCTGTTTCTGCTATATAATTTGTTTTAGTTATTATTCTACCTTTCTTACAATTTTCTACTGTCCTATTGAAACCTTGGGGAAAAAATATTATAAATGCAGTGGACTGCAACATGTAGTACATCCGAAATAAAATGTATGTCCTTAAACTGATTGTAAATCATCAAGTTCATAACATATACTACAAAGCTATTTAAGATCAGGGCATTACCTTTATGTTTTGGTATTAAATAAATCTAACAGAAATGTCTTTAGCTTGTTGCTAGGCATTAACAACTGAACTCAGTATTGAGCTGCTACTTTGCAGAAACTACAAATTATAATTCTCTTAACACTAAAGTTAATGGGTTAGAAGATATTAATACTTTCTATTTTTATCATCCTGTTATCAATAGACCCTGAACTAAAGTATAGGAGTTTCAGTTAGATATTTTCCCTGTGAAAAGATATGGGGCATATCAGCCTGTATGGGGAAAAAACAGCATCCACAGTTTTTAATATTTATTCTGAAAAACACAGAAAACAGAAGGTCAGTTTAGTGTTTATATATGTTTTGACAACTGTTTCAGTTTTGAACTAATTATACACTTACATTCTTTAATTACTACCCACCCAATTATTGGTTATCTGAGTCAAAAGTACATATGATTTAAATAAGTTCAATACTTATTGTGTCATCAAATATTTCTAATACAAATTATTTTATTTTTCTGACAAGCCATAGTCAGATGAATGCTGTTGTCACTCATTTATTCTTCTCAGTGAAATCTTCACAAGTTAATTACTAGCGTTTATTTAACTCATAAACTCCTAAATATTCCAGATATTTTTTTTAAAAAAAATAGAGGAAACTAGCTAGCATATTTGCTATGCAATAAATCAAACTAAATGTAAAACAACAAGAACAGAAAAAATCATGTTTGTAATCTTTCAACTAAAATAAAATCAAGTGAAATTATAATAAATTGGAATGTTTTGTTAGATTTCTGTACTTGGTTCTATTTACACAAATGTGTCTTGTTTTCTGAATAATTTTAAAACAAATATATCGCTTTAATTCCCTTGATTTTTGAAATAAATATGTCCAATGGAAACACGTTTACCCTTTGAATTCTTGCAAATGAAGTATTATATCAACAGCCTTTCTTTGTTCTTCAGCAATATCTGATATTGTAACACCTTGCTCAATGAAGAAGCTTAGAAATCATATATATTTTGTCACATTAAAGTTATCTAATAAAGCAAGATAAGATTATAAAAAGATATTTATATACATATATTTAAATGTTTTTACTTTGTAGAAGTTATATTGTACACTTTTCTCCTCATTACAACCAGTGCTTTTTTTCTAAAAAAAAAAAAAAGGTGCCGGAACTCACACACGTCATACAACCCACCTTGCCTACCCTACAAGGTTCCATCCAAAAAAGGTGCCGGAACGCCATTCTGGGCGTTCTATGAGAAAAAAAGTCCTGATTACAACAATATCTGCCTCACTATTCTGGCATCTGACATACTCCCCAGTTTGTTATCTTAACCTTAACCTGTTTAACTTTAAATCTCTTTTAATTGGCATTATTTTCCTCCATCAAAAACTTTAAGGAAATAACATATTAAACTATAAACCTGTGTGTTATATGCATTCATCTGAAAGGCTTAATATATGATTCACTGTGTCACATAAATGAAAAAGATTGGGTTAATACAATAAGCCATGATTCACTTAGCTATAGCCAGGGGTGCTGTACAAATAGTTTTGATCATTAGGATGAGTTGTCAGATTTTATGCCTAATTATCAGTGTGTACTGCAGCATTGTTTCTGTGAATAATGTTTTTTAAAAACTTGCACAAAAATTCCAAGATGTGTGACTTTACATAATGGCTACTGTTTATTTTATAATTATACTTTTTTGTAGCATGTTATCTACTGTTAAGTAATAAAAGCACAGATCAATATTTTTCAGAGTTCTCAAGTATCAGCATTTCATGTGTTGCTGATATTTGAAAAAGGACTAGCTTAGGGATTCCTATGAAATATATGGTTTTAATACAGAGTTTTCTCAGGCAAATAATACCTAATTATCAGGGAAGATGTCGTTTACATTATCCCAATTATTAAGGAATGAATAAATAACAATTCACTTAAAACATACCAGCATTGGTTAGTGCTATGCTAACATAAGGAGGGAGGCAAACTACTATTTTGAATCATTGGGAAGACGTGCGGGCCAAAGAAAAACCAGAGATGACAATTATTCTTTTATTCTAGTGATTTTGTAAAAATGTGTTCATATTGATTTTTGTCAATATGGGTGGAATGAACTATGCCAAGTAGCAGCTGGCTTGAGGATCTTGGTCTGGTGGGGAAAAAGTTGCTTTGCAAAGAGAGCTCTAGTGCACATTATATTTCTTTTTTGCTTTCTTCAAAGTTCTTACAATTTTCTATGGGATGTAACTAAAGCCTTTGAGGAGACATTACTGCTTGAATGACTTCACAATAACTCTGTAAGTGATGCATATTTTAAAGTTATGACACAGTGTTACATTTTTGCAGAGGTGAAATCATTTTCAATATAATACTAGCATACAGTAAATTTCTAATAAACTGAGAAATATGGAAGCTAGCTAAATAGAAATTCAATATATTAATCGATGTGTGCCACCTTGTGGTGGAACTCTTCATTATTCTGATGATGTTATACTAGTTTGGCTAATGAAATGTCTGCAAGAAAACAACCAAGCTCAGAGATCACCAAGGACCCCTTTATTTTATTCTAAAATAATATGATTAGAACATAATAAAATATAAATTATTTAGTTAAAATAGATTAAGAGTGGAAATATAGAGCTGTTGAAAAACATTTTGTGCCATCAAAATTTTCACTTATTATAAAATGGCACTTTCCATAAATATCTGTTAATTTCAGTTAAATTAAACATGAGTTATCTTCTATTGCATTTTGCCTAATTTCTTGGGTATTTTTCTTAGTGTTATTTTGAATCTAAATTGAAGATGCATCACTACAATGGATTACTCACTATTCAGGTCAATTCTATTAATATATTCATCAATATCAATTATGTAATTCCTACTCCACTAGTCACTTAAAAATAATTGAATGAAAATTATTATTAACATCCGTATAACATCCAAATGTATTTGGAGATCATTAGCCACTTCTATATTTGTGAAAATGATTTAAAAATCCTGCAAAGGTCTGAAATACAACTAGCATCATAAAAATGTTATATGTATTTATAAAAAACTGAATCTGTATTAATCTACATTTCCTAAATTTCTATTACCGCATGTACATTTTATTGATGTTATTAATGATATGAATATATAGATGATTCAAACTGAAACTAATGTTTTAATAGTTTTTAGTAAACTTGGATTGAACTCAAGCATGGGCTTCAAGCCTATACAGACTGCATTAGAAGCAGGTACCTTTCAGTTCTATGAGATTTATCTTTGAACAGACATACATAAATTTGCAGTTACTTGATTTTTAGCCCAATTTAATTTTTTGTTGCTTTAATAGGAATGTTTAATTAATTGTAGCTTATATCTCATCTACTTAAAAATTCAAGGTACCTCATGATTCATATACATATATCCTTAAAAGGTCAACTCTTTATGTTCTTCACTTGCTGTAGATGTCTGCTACTGTGATGGTGATTGGTTCCTGCTCTGATAGATTGCTGTGGTCTGCTGTCAGGTCCTGCAGCCACTTTGCACTGATGTTATGTGTTTTCTCTTTCTCCCATATGTTCTTCTAGTACTGTTTGTTCAGTTTCTGTTGTTCTTCCAGTACTGTTCAATTTCTGGCTCTACTGTTACTGCACTGCAGTTGGGAGTATATCTTGAATGGTTCTTTGGAGAACAGGGCATTCATCTTCTTGGTCTCTGCATCTCTAAACAATGGGTGGAAACTAATCAAGGGGAAAAGCAACCTAGAACTGAAGAGAAATTTCCTGAGATCAATTAACCAATGGAATGGCTTGCCTTCAGAGGTTGTCAGTACTCCATCAGTGGAGGCTTTTAAGAGACTGGACAGCCACTTATCTGGAATGATACAGGGTCTCCTGCCTGAGAAGGAGATTGGACACAAG